GGAGCGCAACCGCAATCGGGGTGCGCGGCGCCCCCTTCGCCACCGCTCCTGGCCTCTCGGTCCAGCCCCGAATCGGAGCGTGGTCCCTTCCTTCACGACGTCCTCCTTCCGAGCTGCCAGGAAGGAAGACACCCTCGCCATCTCCTCCACCGCGCCCTGGGGCAGCCTCCCGTGGCCTTCTGTACTGCCGAGTCACCTCCTGTAAATAGCTGTCTGATTAAAGTTTTTGAGAAAAGTAATGTCTACTTTTTATTGGAGTGAATTCTCATGTTCCTCAATTTCTCTCTCTACTAAGAATAAATGGATATTTATGAAGACTACAGTTTCATATGTATGAAAATAATAGCATTAAAATGACTAAAATTAGTAGCACCATGGTATCTAGTTAATGGTCGTTTAGTTAACTTGCTATTTAGTCGCAATGAGAAGAGGCGCGTCAGGCGATCGGACGTCCCCACGTCCTGGGCGGGGTGGGCCCTGGCCCTGGGGGCCATCTCTGGGCTCAGGGCCCTGGGCCTATTCCCCTTCCTGTCAACGTGACGGCTCCTGCCTGTCCACCGCATTTGGGACAGGCTGCATCTTAGAGGCCCCCACTGCCTGCTTCGGCCTGACCCTCAGCTCCCACAGCGGCCACTGCCGGTGGCCCCCTTTCCAGTCCCTCCCCTCAGTCCCCCGTGGAAATGTGAACAGAGGTCTTCGGAAAGGACAGCCAACTGCCCTGCCCGGGGCAGTGGCCTCCTGCACATCCCCGCCGGCTCCTCGTCCACCTGCTCTGGCCTCCATGAGTCTCGAGGGGGTACGAGGTACGAGGTGAAGAGGGATCCCTATGGATGCGGGGACCCTCCCCGCTGGCTCATGCGCACCAGTGTCACAGACAGCATGGGGAACGGCTCACGAAGGGGTCCTTCCCGCTGTGACTCACCAGAGTCTTCAGTGAAGGAAGCCACTTCTGGACAGGAAGCACACGCCCCACGGTTCCAGCTTCCACTGACCCCGCCCCTTGTCACCGTACACTTGAAACGAGCGAAAAGAAAGCTTCAGACGATTTTCATTTTTTTTCCAGACTTTCAAAGAAAGTTTTAAATTACGTGGCATTTCTTCGAAAGCATCCTACGTTTATCCACATGTGGTTTAACGCTATTTCCCCAGGGGTCAGTACTAGGACAGTCATATGCGTTCGGCCTAGATGTGTTCATGCTGGCTCACCGAGGGTGACAAGTGCATCACGGCGGCGTGATGCTCAGGTAGGGAGCCAGTGCCGGGCAGATGGGAGCTCTGTCACCCCCGCAGACCAGGACGCCTCCCCAGCAGCCTGCGCGTTGAAAACGGCACCCAAACGAGAAGCGATGATTAGGAAAAGCCAGCTGCCCCAGTCCATGTTCCCGCTGGCTTTCCACAACGCTTCAGCGAGCTCCTTTTCAAAACTGGACATTGCAAGGTTTCTGCTCCCGGTTCCTGTGAGCGTAAGTGCACACCGCTGAGTGTGCTCAGGGGACTGTCACTTGCTTCTTCATGAAGGTGAAGAGGGCCACACCTGCCATCCCCAGAGAGGAGCAGCCCGCCCTTGGGAGAGCAGGTCGCCGGGCAGGTGTCCCGCGAGGCCCTCTTCCCACCGCTGTGGTCTGTCACAGTCCGGGTGTGGGAACCTTAACATGCCGACAACACACCTGGCAAGCGAGTTCAGTGACAGAGACCCGTTCCCAGCTCGCGGCCCAGGCCTTCCTCTTCCCGGCCCTGCCCCCACCTCTCCTCGGCCCCTGTGACAGACACCCCTGTGCTGAGAAGCCCTGGCACCACTGTTTGAGCCTTCTCTGTCCAAGGTCCCCTCCAGTCCCTCCTCCCCCTCCCCAGTGACCCCAGCTACGCCTCCTCCGACTCGTCACAGCGCAGACGAGCGTGACGCACAGTCTCTCTGGGGCTCAGATCCTGGCCTCTGCTGCAGGCACTGGGTGCCACCGTGGGCTGATGGCGTCCAGCCCTGACTCCTGTTTACCTCCGTTGTCACGACCGAGCACACAGTCCTCCAGGATCCTCCCCGTGCTCACAAAACATTAGTTTCCCAAGGGGCCAAAATGCCCCTTCTAAAGGTCAGCTCCCCAAACGGTGGCCCCTGACCACGGCGGTCAGCTCCCCACCACGTCCGCAAGGCTCTGGGGCACCCGCCACCTCTAGCCGCATGCCCCACAGCCGCTGCACCCCCAGCCCAGCTGCAGATGACCAGCAGGTCCCAAACCTGGCTGCCGTCCAGTCACCAGTGTGGCCGTGCGGCAGCCCCTCACTCTGGCCAAGCGCCTCACTTGGCCTCGCTGCCCCTGCTGGTCCTTCAAGGCACCAGCACCTCAGGGGGCTCCCGAAACGACGCTCAACCTTGTACCTACGTCACGTGTCACACTGAGCAGAGTGCACTGGGTCGCTGGTTTGGGGTCAGACTGAGGCTTTCTGAGCACAGAAGTACGTTGACCCCCTCCCTCCTCCTATGTCTGGCCCCCCGTGAGGAACGGTACCCGAGTTGCTGGGTGTATAGTCACAGTTTTCTCACAGGTACTTCAGGTGACCAGCCGGTGAAGGGACGGTCCAGCTGCTCTGTGTCCCTACTGGTCACTCACAGATCCGTGGGATATTTATCGCATAGCACGTGGGTCCCATCACTTTTTAACTGGACTCGCAGGCTGACGAGCCGGCCTGCCGCTGTCGCATGGATGCTGCTCAGAGGTGTGAAATTCTAGGATCAGAGTAGGTGTCTCTCACTGCACAGGAAACGGGGCTCCCGGCTCAGGTAACCGGGGACCTTAGCTCCGCCCCTCCAGGTCTCCACAGCGATACCCCGAGGGCGGCCAGGTCAGCGAGGAGACGGAACCTCCCAGGATGACCTCCCAGCGGCCCGCGGTGCTGCCGGGACCTGCAGAGGCTCTGGGTGCCCTGCTGGGGGAGCCTGCGACAGGCTTCCGAGCCTCCGCCTCCTGTCACGTTTGTTTCCGGCCACTCCCCCCACAGTCACCGCCAGGGCCACTGGGTCCGAGCTGCGAGGGGGGTGGGCCCTCCGACTGGTGCTGGGCCCCTGGGCCCCCAGGACAGGCGGGGTTTCCTCGCACGGGGTCTGCCACCCCCAGGTGAGTTCCCGCTGTGTGTGCACATTGTGCAGTGACCCTGACTCACCTTTGACCTTCTCCAGCACTCCCTAAATTCGCCCTTTTTCTGGGGCTCTGCTTGGTGAGGACATGTGACCGGTAGCTGTGTGGAAAGCTTGTGGAATTTTCCAAACGTTTAGCTCCCATAAGCTGTCTCAACCCTACTCAGAGGGGTTGGTTTTGTGAGATGCTCCAGACAAGCAGAGGCCCCTGGGGGCTGTCGTGCCCCTCGTCCAGTTGGGCAGTTGCCTGTGACGTGCCGCCGTGTCTCTCTGAAACACCGCCAAGAGTCTCGCGGGCCACGGTCGCTGCCGGCTCTGCGGACATCGCCGAGAAGATGCTGGTCGCGGGCCTGCATTTGAATGAAGCAGCTGACGCCTGGCAAGTGTGTTTGTTTGTAGGTTCACACATTAACAAGGGGCTGCGAGCGGCGGCTTCAGAAACAACTTTTTTAAGGAAAACACATGTTACAGTTGTTGGGCCTTTGGGCTTCTGGCGACGAAGTTAAAATCACCTGCAGCTTGAAGGTCGCTCACCAGAGGGCGCACGGCACCAGGAGCCCCAGCTGTGACCCGTCAAACACCCCTTTTCAGTCACCGGACACATAAGGTCAGTGCGATTTCTACCTATCGGTTTCTGTTGGAGGATGTTGGTTAAACAGGGATTTGGCAAAGCAACAGTGTATTTCCAAATGTGAGCAGCTTGATACAAGTTTTCACAAAGTTGCCGCTGCTCTGCTAAACGTGAAATAATCATCGCGTTCTGTAACTAGAAATTACTGAACTAACGGGGCCAGCTCAGAAGCAAAGTTTACGTTGCGTTAATAACGAAACAGATACAATAACATGGGGTGGGAAGTGACAAATCTTTTCTTTTTAAGACTTAGTCAAAATCAACCAACAAATGTTACCTTTACCCCGCTGTTTC